CCAACCTAGTGTTTCTGTGATTCTGTGCTGTGTCTTGAGAGAGAATGTGATGATTCTGGAGAGGGAAAGATTCTACAGATTACCAGTGGATCCAAACACGTTTGCTTCTGAAAGGCTCGAGTGCTGGTAGTCAATATTTGTAGAGGCTACTCAGCCTATCATTAATGTGATCAACTGTAAGAGGGAACAAAGAAGCGGGGCTCAGGACCTGCCTCCACTTTGGTTGGATGTTTTCTGCCAATGAATGTGCTTTGGCGTTGTGGTTTAAAGGAGTGTGGCAATGAGTTGATAGTAAGGGTAAAGGAGATAATGAGTATGTTCATCTTTGAGTTTATCAATTTGTTTTTTTCTTCCATTAAAAAAAAATCAGATCTCATTATGCTGTAGTTGAAAATGTTCCAGAAAGGTATTCTGCTTTTGGAAAAAATTCTTTAAACTTCCATTTTATTGCTTGCTTTTTTCATTTGTTTGATTCAGTTCTTTTAATTTAGTCCTAATAAGGCAAATATTGTATATGTAGTTCTGTAAAATGCTTGTTTCTAATTGATGAAACTTTTGCGTTGGCAGTATGGACAGTGTAAGTACATTAGTTCTGTAAGCTACATAGTCTAAATCCTTTAAACTCTCACATTTTATTTTTGTTAATGTGTGTTTTTCAATGAATTCAGACTTACATAATTTCTGTTAGAGAGGAATGTTGATCTTGCTTATTTATCTTGTTTAGTGCCAGCCCATTAGACCGCGTCTCTGCTTTGGAGCTTTCTATGTACAATTGCTATCAAATGTTTCACTCAAGCTCCTAATGGCTTGCTACATCAATGGATAGTTTATTTTCTTTCTATGTAACAGCCAATAGCTGTAGTAGTAACTGTTTAACGAAAGAAGTGCATTTAAGTACCCTTTGAAGAGGTGAATTTCTTCTCAACCAAATCTAAGTAAGCATATTTTCCAGTTTTTAAAGATTTGTAAATCTTTAGATTTTCTTCTTGAATGACAAAATGGGAAAGAAAAAAAAAATTTGGCATGTGGACTCTGAAGAGGCACCATAGAAGTCCAGCACTTTAAAAACTATCAGCATTTCTTTGAACACCTGAAAAGTGATGTAGATGATAACAATAGGAGCAGCCAGAAAGCATGTAGAAGAAAACTTTTAGTTATGGAGACAGGATATATGAAATATTTAAGGACTCTGCCTTTTCTTAAGGCGTGTTTCTTCGCTCCACCCCCACAGATTACAAATTTGAAACACCATAAACAAGATTTCATACATTCTGCTAGATGTTGACCATTTAAAATCTTCTGTTTTTAGAAGCAGCCCAAATTTACAAAGCTCTTGTACCAACATTTAGTCATTTAAAAAAAAAAAAAAATTATACATGTCAGACTGGAAGCTGTTATTGAACCAGTGGCATGTGATTTCAGGCTTACAAGTTAGTCTGATTACCTTAAATATCTAAATGTACCTTGATAAATTTTTTGACCAAATCATAATTTTTGCCTAGAGCATTGTTTTGCAAGTCTCAATAGAAATCTGTCTTTGTATAGTCTAGATTGGAGTTAATATTCATGAATCTTTTGACTAGGTCTGAATTTTGAAATCTTTGTGTAGTATTTTTAAAGCCATCAGTGATGCTCTACTACTAGAACTAGGAACTTTGCTCCTACAGTGAAGTTTCAGCATATGGGGAGCAAGTGCTCTGACTCTGTCCACAGTAGTCTTTGTTACAAAAAACATGCTAATACTTTCATATTTGTCAATATATCATTTTCTCTAGCATGCTTGATAGACTGCACCTAGCTAGAGAAATTGGAAGAAAAAACGGAAATACCTAGATTTTTATTACCTACACTATCTTGAAAATTTATGAGATGGTTTTTATTGTCAGGGATGTTTTAGATAGAGTTGATTACACCTAGATCTTTAATACTGCTTTGTAAGCACTTTCTGTGTGGAAACTATTGAGAAATTTAGGGCCTAATCAAGATTGACTGTTGCTTGTATCTAGTTTTGATCAAGACTCAGAGCATACCAAGATCTTATTTCTACACAAATTAAAAACATGTGTCTGTCCTTCCCCTGCTCCCTTCCCTTTTAGCTTTCTTTTCCTTTTGAGAAAATTGTGGTCTCAACTGGGAACTCAAAGGGCTTTGCTATTTGGCGATGGCATAAGATGTTTCTGTATCAAGGACACCTATTTTGACTGTTCTGATTAGATATGCATGGCAGCAACTCTTTAGAGAGGCTTATGGTCTCAGAAATTACTGTGTCAGTATGGGGTTGGATAATTTCTGTTTCCTGACGGGGCAAAGACACACATACATGAAGTATGTCTGGATAGACTTGTCTGTATCCTTCGGTCCTAAGGGACTGAGTGGAGAACTTTATCATCAAGTGTAAGGAACAGGTAATACACCCATAAACGAACACTTCTTTTTTTCACTATGCACAGTCATTTTGAGGAACGAGCACTAAGACTGTGCAGCAACGGCTTTAAAAATTCTTACGGGGGGCAAAAAAAAAAAAAAAGAAACCAAAAACCCCAACCAAAAGAGTGATTTCCTGTTTCTTGTAGTACAAGAACTAACAGGCACTTACAGTAAGAGGTTCAGTGTAGATGTGTTTTGTTGAATTGTTATGTTAATATTTGGAACTCATTGCCACAAGAATAGTGTTTATTTCCAAAAGTGATTGGACAAATTAATAAGAGAAGCATCTATCCAGGCTATTAAACATGAAGTTGTCCTGCTGTTCCCAGTAGGTGGAAACTGGAAGGCTAGCAGGGAAGTATCAGTAGGAGCTTGTCTAGTCAGTTGGTGTTGATTCCTGTTGGACATAGGATGTTGAAATGGAGGGACCTTTGATCTGATCAGGGTGCCTATGAAGTCATTAAGAAATCCAAGTTTTCAAGATTTCAGTAATTTTAGCAAAATAACAAGGCTAATGACCAAGAGGTGTAGAATTTTATCACTGATTATTGTAACCTTTTTTCTTTTCCTGATAAAGTTCTGATTTATTTTGAAGCAAATCAACCTAAACAGTTTCTATTCGAAGTTTTTGGTAAAACTGTAATATGTTCTGCTTGTAGGTGCTAAAAGTTGATGGTGCTTACGTTGCTGTGAAATTTCCAGGCACCTCCAGTAATGCAAACTGTCAGAGCAGTTCTAATTCAGATCCTGATCCTTCTTCCCTTCTCCAAGACTGTAGGCTGCTCAGAATAGATGAACTGCAGGTATGTCTTTGTGAAACGCTGAGAAAACAACCAGTATTTTGAAATGTCAGCATGGTGTGCTTAATTGCATCTTAAAATTTTACATATGTTTTCAGGTTGTAAAAACTGGTGGAACTCCAAAAGTTCCTGACTGTTTTCAAAGGACACCTAAAAAGCTGTGTATTCCTGAAAAAACAGAGATCCTAGCAGTAAATGTAGATTCAAAAGGTAAGTAGACAGCTTATCCTGTGAGATACTCTGTTGGATTCTTTATTACCTGTCTCTCTTCCTAGTGGAAAACAACTGCTGTCAAATGAACATAAACACATGTTTCCATTGATATTAGTAATTACTTCAAAGTGCTTTAGTTAGGAGTTCTTCTACTGGATGCCATCAGTAAAAGACATTAACTCTTTTCTTTGTGTATCTTTGAAGGAGTGCATGCTGTTCTGAAAACTGGGAACTGGGTTCGGTACTGCATATTTGACCTTGCCACAGGAAAGGCTGAACAGGAAAATAATTTCCCTACTAGCAGCATTGCGTTCCTGGGACAGAATGAGAGAAGTGTTGCTATTTTTACAGCTGGACAGGTGCGTGGTTTTTCACCTCAATCATTTAACCTCACTACACTTCACTTTTGTCATCTTTGAATGGGATGGTACAGCCTTTTGTAAGGCTTTTCCAAAGACTGGCAAAGAAATAGTTCCTCAAATGGGTTATGAAAGATTTGCTGCTACCATTAATATTTTGAAGGCACAAGAGGAATAGCAATATAACTCACTTAAGCACTTCTAATAATCGTATTCAAATTCTACCTTGAATAAAAAAATTTAAAAGGGTGGGGGAACTTGACAGAGTAGTTCCTATGTTAGTGTAAACTTGTTATCTAGCTGTATTTGCAATTAGGTCAGATGAAAACCCACTCTTGAGAATAAATGGAAAAGTTAAAAAAACCCCTCTATTTGATGCTAAAAATAGTATATCGAGGTTTTGTGCAACTGTCCAATGTTAAGTATCTTATTTTATCTGATTATAGAGCTTGATTACACTGTGCAGGCATCCATGAGGAGGGCTGAGAAAAAAATTCTAAAACCATTTTAGTAACAAACACAATGTACTTTGCTTAGGACAGTTGGAGGAAACATTTTTGTCAAAAGAACTGAATTCAAATGTTTAATTTCAATATATTCAACTTCGGAGCGTTTAAGTAAGCTAAAAGTATAGGTACTATATGTTGGTAATGCTTCGTATTGAATGTATATCATAAAGAAGATACTTTTAATAGTATTTACTATGTTAAGCACATAGGCATTTGAGAAAGATTGTCTGCTGTCTTATGTTGTGCCACTTGTAATGATAAGAGACAACGGTGTAAATGAGAATATCAGGTAAACTGTTGTCATTGTTGTCAGTCAAGCAGAACTGGACCTTTTGGGAAGGATAATATTTATAAATTGTATCAACTTATTTATAAAACTTTTTTCCCAAATATAGGAATCTCCTATTATTCTTAGAGATGGAAATGGTACAATCTACCCAATGGCAAAAGATTGTATGGGTGGGATACGAGACCCTGACTGGCTTGATCTTCCACCTATTAGTAGTCTTGGAATGGGTGTTCACTCCTTAACAAATCTTCCTGCTAACTCGACCATCAAAAAGAAAGCTGCTATTATCATTATGGCTGTTGAGGTAAAATATTTTCTTTACTACAGAATTATGTGCTTTTTTCCTCTTGCTTTTATAAAGTTATGCTTAAATCAGCCTCATGTTTAGATACCAATTTGTATTTTCACTGTTTTAAAGAAACTAATTTCAACAGAAGATTCTCTTAGAAACATGAAAGCACAAACAAATTCAAGTAGTAAAGTGAGGAGGTGCATGGCTTCTGTATCAGGCTTTTAACTAGTAATATTTTTTTTTTTAGGCATTACTTTAAAAACTGTTATCTTCTTACGTATACTACCAGTATACAATTTTATTTTATGGATGCACAGTTTTTCTGAGGGATCCAACAATTTGTTTTCTTGTGAATGCAGTACTTTTCTACTTTTCTTTTTTTAATCTTCTATTTGGTCTATACATTAGGAAATTGAGTCAAGCAGATTTTTTTTTCACTTGAATCGCCTGTAGTCTGTACTCATCTGTGGTGCTGTATGAATTGTTCTGCTGTGAATTTATATATCATGCTTGTATAAACCCATCGGTGATTTGGTGCAGTTTAGTTAGCTCTGCTGTGTGCTATGCTGCCACCAGGAGGTATTTTGTACCTGTTAGACTGAGATTGATTTCACAGTGGAGTATTCCATCACTGTGGAAAAGCTTGTTATATATGGGTGAGCCTCCCAGACCTTCAACAGCTTCTATTTGTTCATTCCTCAGTGTGTATATTGCTTGTTTAAAACAAATACTTAGAAGCTAGTTAATGTAGTAGACTCCTTAGTTTTTTCAGTTGTACCACTTTTCCCATGTTACATGCATGCGGGAGAAGGATGGACTTCACAACTCTATGAGAGTTATATTCCGAAGCCGTTTATTGTCTTGTCTGACTCCAATATATATCATAATTTTCGCTTAGTCACTGCGCACACACTCATGATTGGTTACAACTTGTTACACACACTATTGCAATTGGCTATATACAAAATATCACGCACTGTCCACGCGCCCCTCACACAGTCAGGATTGCTGCTTGCAGGTGTTCCTGTTTTCCTCGCTTCTTCTTAGTTGTTTACCACAGCTCCTTCTCCTCAAGGCCGAGCCGTGCAGATATCCAGCTGTTTACCCGCTTCTCAATGCCACAGCTCCTTCTCCTTAAGGTTGAGCCGCGCAGATCAACGCTACAGCTCCTTCTCCTTAAGGTCGAGCCATGCAGGGTGATCCCAACACATGCAGATTACTTCTATTTCATGGCTACCTTAAGAACGCAGCTATGAAGCCAAAGGCATACTTTTGTGAGCCTGATAGCTTCTGCTGCTTAAGCCTCTCCTTTCCTTTAACTTGTCTGTGCCTGAATGTGTGCTGTTTTCTGTTATTAACAGTGCTGTAATTGAGATGATGCGTATTCTCAACAGTTCCTGCATTGACTTCCAGCCAATGCTCTTCTAGATTTAAACCTTTCTATTAATTTAAAAAATGGAAAACTAAAAGTACTTAGGAAAGTTGAATGTCTGCCTTTTGTGTTTTACATTGTTAAAATATTTCATTCTTTTGAGTACAGAAACAAACTTTAATGCAGCACATTCTCCGATGTGACTATGAGGCTTGCAGACAATACCTGATGAATCTTGAACAAGCAGTTGTCTTGGATCAGAATCCACAAATGCTGCAGACGTTCCTTGGCCATAGATGTGATGGAAACCGCAATATTCTGCATGCTTGTGTGTCTGTATGCTTTCCAACCAGCAACAAAGAAACAAAAGAGGAAGAGGGTGAGCTCAACAATATAATGAAAATACTTTGAAAATGAACTTCTTATGCCTTTTCAAGAACATTTGAAATAAAGGCTGCATTCTACATATATGGGTGTCTTAAAATTTAGTACCTAGAATGTGCCCTAGCCTTTCGAAGGTGCTGAGACAACATTTTTATTACTCTCATAAGGATTTATAAGAATTCAATAGTTAAGAATACTAAGCTGTTTTTATTGATTGTAAAAGATAAACTTTTCACATCTGCATGCTAATTTTAGAGGAAAACAAGTATTTTTCCACCTTTATATCACTACTATCCCCATTATATCACTAGTAAACTTTTAGGAGAAATGGTATTTAATATTTTTCAAGTGTTATAGTGTACGTTAATGCCTCCAATAAGAAATGCCACTTGCAGTTGACAGGTATCAAGAAATGTGAAAGAATGACCTTCTGTTAATGCCAGTTACTGACACAATTTAAAAATTTCTATTAAATACTGTTATGTAAAAAGTATGTTAACAGAACAAGGTTGCTAAGTCAAGCACTCAAAAATTAGGAAATGCCAGAATTAAGTTTACCCATGTGCTATACATGGGTATGCATTGTGAAATGGTCTTTAATTACACCGTCATACTATTTTTTCCACAGGACTACCTCATTCAGTGCACAAGATGGACGGTGCTCACCGAATGGGTAGCTATTGAATATTTCTTTTTATCCTCATCATTCAGTGTGTGGCCCCATTCCTTAAGATTGCACACCATACAAACCCTGCACTGAATAATGAATGAACTTCCTTGTGGGATTTTTGTATGGTGCTCTCATTGAATTTTAGTCATTTATAGACCTTAATTGTTCCTCATATCCCTATTTATAAAATGGGGGTAATGCTACAGCTTTCTTATCTCTTGAAGGTATGATAGCTTGAAGTTTTTCTGTATTCAAAGCTATTAACTAATTTTGAGGGTTCTGTTTGAGAAGCCTAGGGCCTGATCTTTTTTTTTTTTTTTGAGTAGTGTTCTTTCAAAACGCTTTATTCTAGAGCTGGATTAATAGTTGTTTTGTGAATGTTAGTTATTTCTGTGAGTCAGGAACCTTTTAGGTGTCCAGAAATGAGTAAAATGTATCATAATCATCTGTAAAAACTTGTTTCACAAAGTTCTGTGTGCTGTTAGATGTGGCAGAAGTATGTTCCAGTTCTCCAAAGTGGTGTTCAGTGGCATTAAGCACAAGACAATGCTTCCCCTGCTCCTTGCCAAGCTGTTGCTGCCTTACTACACACCTTCCAAATGTTGCAGCAAACAAGGCATAAACAGCTTGCTCGTTGTACAACCTTTCATCTTTAGTGTGTCGTCCATCCTGTGCACTGATTGAGGCAGGGGTCTTCTTGTGGGGGGAGGGAACAAAAAAACCAAAACAAAAAAACAATCCAAAACAAACAAACAAAACCCAACTGTGTAACTGAAGATTGTTTTACTCTAAGCACACAAGGAAGCTGAAATAAGGATGCATGGGCAAACTTAATTTGACTTTTGCGAATTTGAGTGCTTGTCTTTGCAACCTTGACATTTTTTCAGTAACTTCATTTGGATGTAATTTAACTTTCTGAAAAATGAAAAACATGAACCTGATAGACTTTTAACACCCCTCTGCCTCTCTCTTTCCCCTCAGAAAATTTGTTTTAAAAGGGGATTCATATCTTTAGATTCAAATCACATTCACCTTCCACTGTAACTGTTAGCGATGGGTATTAGGACAAGCTTACTTTCTGTACATCATCTGGAGGGCAGTGGTGACTAATGTTACTGTCTGTAAGTCATCTGTTAAACTGTAAAAGAAGTTTGATTTAGGAGTAAAGGCTTCAATTCCAGACTCCAGACAAGATGTTCCTTAACAATTACAGAACATACTGCCCCTTCCCAGCTAGTACCTGCCTGAGATCCTTCACTTTTCTTCATAAGATTTCTCCTTAAGTGCTGGAAAGGGAATATTGAGGGCAGGGATAAACCTTTTTTTTGGTCTCAGATCCTGTGCTTAGTTTCACCATAGCTCCTGCAGCACTGGATAAATGAATTGCAGGAAAAATGTCCCAGACCTGCAAAGCTGGGGAAAGGTTGTTGTGTTTCTCTGTGATTTCATATCTCCTCAGTCTCACCAATAGAAAGGATCTTGGAACAAGACCGGTCCAAAAGAAATGTCCAAAGCATGTGAAATCATTAAAAAGTTATGATACTAAATTTTAGATAACCTTAGTTTGTAGGTCTTCAGTAAAGTTGTTTTTCTAGAGATTTGGGATAGATTTCATTAGACAACAGAACAGCAAATTAGCCTTAGAACCAGGACATTTACAATTGATGGGTCTCCAGAAATGAATACTAACTTCACAAGTGCAACAGGAAAAATTCAGTTACAGTTTACTGTGGGTCCAAGAATAGATTAAATCTCTCTGGCAGAGAACAGTTGTGTTGCTTTGTATTGCTTGAGGGATCACTGTCAAGAGCTGTGACCCTCTGTGTGAGGGACCCAGACTGTTATGGGTCATGAGTTAAAAGAACTAGTGGATATTAGAAAGGAGTACAGCACAAATACAATGGCAATTCATTTATAGGTCAACTAGTACAGAACTAGGGGCACAAGAGTAATACTTGCTAAGTGCTTGATAGTTGTCTGCTGTGGGTAGTCGGTGATTTTTGGCTAAGAAACCTGAACGTGCTTGAGAACAAGCAAAACTTTGCTACTTCAGGTAGTGTTGAGTAGAAAGATCTAAAGAATAAACATACGATAAAAGCTGACAAACACCATCAAATTACCTTATTCTGTGAACTCAAAGGTATTAATAGTACATTCTTGTTTAAAAAAAAAAGGGGAGTGGGGGGGGAATTATTCAGGTCTTAGTACTGCCAGCGGAGAAAATATGTGTGCAGAGGATGATGACTGTCAGTTTGAAAAGCCTTTAAATGGAAAGTGAGCACTAGCCATAACAACTTTGGGATGTATCCCAAAAGAACAATTGGAGTCACTTTAAGGAATTATTTTTCTTTTTTCAGAAATATACCTTTTTTTTCTAGTTTGTACAAAAAATTGCCTTTCATTCTGAAAGGAAAATTACCTCTTTCCTGGCCTGTATCATGCTGAAAGTCGCTTCTCTTTGAGTTCTTTCTGGATCCATGGCTGTAGTGATTCATAATTTGCTATGTAGTGGCTATGTGATCCTTTAATTGTCAGTAGCTCCTAAAGAAGCAATGACTGTTATTCTGTGCAGACCTTGTACAGCTGACTGTACCGTTTTATCTGTGTATTTATCTTGCAGAAAAATACATGTTAGGTCTTTGATACAGTTGGCTGCTTCAAGTTGTACTGTAACTATATAACTAGGCAATTTTTTATATTCTGTATAGCACTTGGCACAATTCAGTCCTCGTTATGACTAGGACCTTTAGGTGTATGGTGCTTAGGGTTTTAGATGTTAGAAGAAATGCTCATTATTTCTCATGTAAACTGATCTTATGCTATCTTTTTATACTCATAACAGTTTTCCTAAGCATGCTCATAAGTGGAGTGTGTATCTTACAAGCCCACAACTTTGCATTGTTGTTCATATCTGTTCATTGTGAAGTGTGGGGTTTTGTGGATGGGGCGTGGGTGTTTTGTGGGGGTTTTTGGTGGGGTTTTTTTTGTGTTGGTCTGGATTTTTTGTTGTTGTTGTCATTACTTTTGAAGCCTTGACTCGGCAAGTGTCTGGAATCAGCTACATGCTAGGTCCTTGTCTCTTGATGATCCTGAAAACTGAAAGCTTGTTCTGGAATTTGAGTGCCTTGAATATCCTTCCTTGATGGCCTTTTAGAAACCAAACCCTGTCAGAATCATGGTTAAGGTCCTCCAAAACAAAAATTTGTAATGAATCTACTCTGTCCCTCTAAATCTCTTAACAAAAAAAAAAAAAAAAAGAGTGCAGGGAACATTTCATGATTAGTGACATTTCATAGTTTATACTCCTTCCTTATTTTTTCCCAAGTGAAATTTTGGCACTAATACTTTTCTTGATTCTTCAGAAGCAGAGCGCTCTGAAAGGAATACATTTGCTGAAAGGCTCTCGGCTGTGGAAGCTATTGCGAATGCAATCTCCGTTGTGTCAAGTAATGGTCCAGGAAATCGGGCAGGATCATCAAGCAGCAGAAGGTAAACTGACTAACACTTTTATCTTGTTTTCTGTATGTTGATTTCCGTATTAATTACCAATCTTTTACTAATTCTTTTCTTCAGTCTCGTTTAAGAATGGGATCCATTGTTAGTTTAAAGTCAGATTTAACTTCTTCAAGTACCAAACTAGACCTCTAGTGTTTTTTTTAAAGGCTTTTCTGGTGTGAGAACTAGAAGTGGGATATTTCTAAACTAATTCTGTTTTCTGGGGTTGGGGCATTGTCTTCTCAGTTGTAAAGTGGAAACACTCCTTGTGGGGAAAGGGAATTTGAGGGTAAGCTCTAGTGCTCTTTACCAAGGCAAATTAAGTACCACAGAAGTACTATAATAGTGCCCAGCCATGTTCTTTTAAGAGAATGTCTGAGGGAGGTGTGGTCACTTAGGCAGATAAATAATACTGAGATCAACATAACAACAGTGGGGAAGAACTTAAGTTATTTCTTTTTATCCGAAGCAATCATTGTTATAGTGGGAGTCCTTTGTATCAAGGTGGCTCAATAGGATAGGTTTCTGACCCTGCCAGAATCCTAATTTCTGTTGACATTTATGTTCTTCCTCTTTCCATGATGGTAACTGAGTGGTGCTCATGTCAAGAGAATTTGACAGTGCCTGTACTGAGTTCTAGACAGTTCAGAGCACTGGATGAGGACATAGTACAATTTTTTTACTTAGCTCTGTAGTCCAAGCAATTGACACAAAATCGTGTCTTTACTCTTCCCAAGCTACAGTCCTCGTCACGGTGATCTTTTTGATATGGGAGATAAGGGTAAGGGTTGAAGCTTCCCTCCTTCTGTAGGAGGGAATTCTGTAGGAGACATTACTTTTAAGAGGAAGTGCATTTAAAAAAAAAAAAAGGAAACAATCTTCATGTTTGTACCTCTTTCTTTGTATCATGCTGAGTTCTTTGGCTTCTACGTTATTCCTACCACCTTTCCCTCTAGTAAGATGACACAGAATTCCTTGAAATTGTTTACTGACTGTCCTTAGGAAAGCAGTACTTCATGTTAAATAACTTTAAATGAGTAACCCCTATCAAAAATTTCTTTTCAAACCCTATTTTTATTCTTTCATCAACCTCTTTTTGCAGTTAGATTTTAAAAAACAGCAGCAATGAGAGCAAATCCTTGCACAAACTTAACACGCCTGGTAATGAGTTTGGGGTAAAAGCAATGTCAAATAGTGGTAATAATGCCCATCAGCTGCTGCTCCCTGCAAGAGGCAGTGCTGTGGTGACTAGGGATGTGTTCTGGGCTCAAATCTGTTTTGATGCGTTGCTGTCTGACTCTTCTTCAAAGGCCATTATATTCTGTTGCAACAAAATGGAATACAGGAATGAAAAATACCTCTTTGCTCATTCTTATTAAGAAAAATGGAGATAAGATTTTGGTTTCCTTTTTCAGTGTGAAATTCTGCTTTAAAATGCTCTAATTATGAATGAAAACGAGATCGTATTTTTACTTTGGTTTTGTGTTCAGTTTGAGATTAAGGGAAATGATGAGAAGATCCTTGAGAGCTGCTGGGTTGGGCAGACATGAAGCTGGTGCTTCATCAAGTGATCACCAGGACCCAGTTTCTCCACCAATAGCTCCTCCCAGCTGGGTTCCAGATCCTCCTGCAATGGATCCGGGTAAGTCTGCTCATGTATCACATTAGACTGTAGAATGAGAGATTTAATAAAGGAACTGGTGGTTTTTAAGGTGAATCACTTTGGTTTCAGCGTGAGACTAAAATACCTAATGTCACTGAGGTAGCAAGAGGTCATTGTGGTACATTAAGAGTTTACTGAAGACTTAACAGTTGTATTTAAATCCAGTATGTGTCTTTTTAACGCTGGTGTCAAACTTCTGTGAACTGTGTTTTGTAATGTTGTTACATTACTAATCTAGGAATGTTGCCATTTGTAGGAAAGAGTACCAATTAAATACAGAAAACCTGCAGTGTAGTAGACGTTGCAGAAAGAGCATGTTGTTAGGGATGTTTTTATGTATTGATATACATCCTGCTGTTCTGTTTACTGAAAGATGGTGACATTGATTTTATCCTGGCCCCCGCTGTGGGATCTCTTACCACAGCAGCGACTGGCACCAGCCAAGGACCTAGCACCTCCACGATACCAGGTGAGGACATACTGCTTATCTGATCATGCTTTAGAAGGAAAACGATCTCAAAAGCTGTCTTTGCTTGCACAGACTTTCTGTATATGAAAATGCCTCTTATCAGATGAAGATTGGATTGAAGCAGAATTTCACAAGTGTGCAGAAAGTAAATGAAGCACCATACTGTGTTTTATGTAAAAATTATTTTTTACTTGGGGAGGGAGTGACAAATATGTAAAAAGATGGTAATCAGTATGAAATTGGGATTACTGTCTGTATTTCAGAATGTAATTTGGAACTGAAATTTACAGTACTTCAGTGAAATGTTACTGAAACTGGCAAACCACTGAATAGTCAAGCTACTGGTTAATCACCCCGATGAAACATTGAATTATTTGCTTTTAATAGGTAGTCATTTTTTGAGGAAAACTGTTTTCTCGGCAATTTTTTTTTCTCATTACAGGTCCTTCTACCGAACCATCTGTAGTGGAATCAAAGGATCGGAAGGCAAATGCTCATTTCATACTGAAATTACTGTGTGATAGTGTTGTTTTACAACCTTATCTTCGAGAATTGCTGTCAGCTAAGTAAGAATTTTCATATGAATTCTCACTATCCTTTGTAATGTTGTATCACCTGAAATTTACTACATAGAAGCCCTTTTAAAAAGGTTATTTAAAGGCGCATTAGTTAAAATGGAGACTGTTAGAATAGTGGCTGTGTTTGTGTCCTGCCATCCCTTAATTAGGTCTATTTCACAGAAGTAAAACAAATTGATGAGTGCTTATTCACTCTGTGGTTTATCAGATAGCAGTGCTAAGTTTTCATATATTTGTTTCCTATCTCTCCTGTTATAACAAAAAAATTCAGTGCGTTTTAACTTGTCTGTTGCTTTGTTGTTTTTTTTTCCCTAGGGATGCAAGAGGCATGACACCATTTATGTCAGCAGTTAGCGGCCGGGCATATCCTGCTGCAATTACAATTCTAGAAACTGCACAGAAAATTGCTAAAGGTACACCAGTTTCAGGAATTATTAGTGTGTGGTTTCCTTCTAAACTCTGGCATATGTGCAAATTCATTATTAACAGTGCGCCTTTTTTTTTTTTTTTTGCTCATGTACTTGAGCAACTGGCGATGGTGGTAACATCTCGTTCCAAAACACTGTATATTGCTGCATGTTTTGGAAATTTTGCTTTTGTGGAGTATCTCCCTCTTTGTAGTGTGCATATTATGATAAATTTCTATGAATTATTGCTTTTGTGTTCTTTATAGTCTTCTCAGCATTTCATTGCTTTACAGACATCAGTGGATTAAGGTACTATTTTTCAGTAGCACAAAGGTATTGCTGGGGACGTCTTTCTTTGAATTGGGAAAAAATGGTATGATAAAGTAGTATGCCAAGCTAAATCCTGTTCCTGAAAAGACTTCTATACAAACACATGTTTTGTGACTCTCTTTCAATGTTGGTATTTAATTGTTTAAGACAAATACGTGAAGTTGAACTTAAGGAGAAAATTAAGCAGATTAGAACTGTGGTGTGACACAGTCTATAGGCCTGTGTGTATTCCGTATAAGAATGTTGCCCATAAATTATTTTTTAGTCCTTCAAAATGGTCATCCACTGACTTGATTAGAATATCAGTGAATTTAAAACTGGGGAAGAGTTTGTGGTTGTATTTTTCTGTCAGGAATTTGCAGCACCTTCTAAAGGAAGTATCTGTAATGTGACAAGCAGAAAGCCTTCTCAAAAAACTGACAGAGACTTTATTGTAACTTCTAATTCTGTATGGGATTTTGTAATGGCAAGTGTCTGTCAAGTATGGGTTCTGTTGGTGTTTTTTGGGGGGTTTGGTGGCGGTTTTTTTTGGTTGCTTTTAACACTGGTATTCTATTTTTATTTTAGCTGAAGCAACTTCCAGTGAAAAAGAAGATGATGTGTTTATGGGAATGGTTTGTCCTTCTGGTACAAATCCAGATGACTCTCCTTTGTATGTTTTGTGTTGCAATGATACATGCAGTTTTACGTGGACTGGTGCAGAACATATTAACCAAGTAAGGCTTTTTCTGGTCATTTAAAGTAAACAGGAATGTGTTTCAGATGTGTATTGTGTTAGTCTACTAATCTAATTTTTAAATTATTAAAGTTGCATTGTTTTAATTACTGTAACTTTTAAGTCTGGTATAGTTATTGCCTACCATAATTGCTTTGTACTCTCAAAGCTGGCTGTCTTGGTCAGAATATGGCTCTTTATGGGTGTGGCTTTTCCCCTCTGGCCAGCTTTGGCAAAAATTTTGATGGAAACAACTCTTCGAAAATACTGAATATTCTAACAACGAAGTTTCACTTTCTAGAATTGACTTATCTCTAAGAGAAGGCATCAGTCTGAACAACTGCAATTTTATTGTAACCTGAACTGCTGTGAGATTGCAAGTACTGTAGGGAGAAAAATATGAATAATATTTTTGGTAAATTTTTTTAGGATATATTTGAATGCCGAACATGTGGCCTATTGGAATCTCTTTGTTGTTGCACAGAATGTGCAAGGGTCTGTCACAAAGGACATGACTGCAAGTAAGTATTGTCTTCTCTTTCTTATAACTAAATCAATGTTTTGTGGCTTCATTTGTTCACTGATAGTTAAGAGGATTTTTCCCTTGGTTGAAGTGTTCGAATATTAGAGAACAGAAGATTAATAAAATATATTTAAAATATCTTCTTTTTCTTCTGTTCTGTGAGGTTTATTTTATGGGTCAGAATTGAACGAGTGGCCTGAAGCAGTATTGTACTTTTAACTTTGTATCATTTAGAGTAAATGAGTAATTCTAACACCCTCAAAGTGCTTAACATTCGAAGAATAATGTATCTAAATAATACCATGTTTTCATTTTGGGTGCCTCCAGGAGTTTTCTGAAGCCAGTGAATTCTGATGAAAGGTCATTCTTGCAAACTTTTAGAAAGAAGTGTAGCATATTAATGTCTAAGATCAAGTGTAATAAAAATGAAAAGAGAGCAAGCAGTCAAATGAACAGTCAAGATGTCTCTTATCAACCTGTCCAAAGCTTTGAAGCTGCAGACGTTTTGTGCCACTGTTACAGGGTGTAAATGTTACAGTATTAATATTGTAGCTATAGTAAGCTAATAGATACAGTTATAAAGATATTCTCAGCATTGTAACAATTGCTGAGATTTTACTGTGTGTCATGAGGATTTCCAACTTAACTTTCATGACTGGAGGCTATGTTGAGGAAGAATAAATGGTCTTGGATGAGTTTTACTAAGGCACTATGAAAAGCTCTACACTGAAACTGCACTCTTAAAATGAGCATAGGAAATGAGAAGAGCAAATGTCAAGTGTTGCCACATATAAACTCTGCATTTCTTTTTTAAGCTAGGTTTTGGCATCTTGCTGCTATAGTAAAGAAAATACTAGCAAGGATATTAATGTGTACACTAACACTCTCAGCCTGTGTAGAAAATATTTGGTATATTACTGAACAGTGTTGCAGCTCACCTTTTCTATTTCTTGTAGGCTCAAACGAACATCTCCAACAGCCTACTGTGATTGCTGGGAAAAGTGCAAGTGCAAAACACTAATTGCTGGACAAAAGTCTGCTCGCCTTGATCTCCTTTACCGCCTGCTTACCACCACAAATCTTGTTACCATGCCAAATAGCAGGCAAGTTCATATTTGCGATGACATGGGCAGAACAATTTTTATTATTTTTAAATATGTGGTATATCATATATCCACTAATAAAATTTTTATTACAGGGGAGAACATTTGCTGCTGTTTTTAGTACAGACAGTTGCCAGGCAAACTGTGGAACACTGCCAGTACAGACCACCTAGAATTAGGGAAGATCGTAATCGTAAAACTGCAAATCCTGAAGGTAAGAACTGTTTCACTGAAATAAGTGTCAAATTCCATATTTCAGTACATCTTTCTTATATTGCTTTTTTGTCTCTTTAGACTCTGATATGCCTGATCATGATTTAGAACCTCCTCGTTTTGCCCAGCTTGCTTTGGAACGTGTTTTGCAGGACTGGAATGCACTGAAGTCCATGATCATGTTTGGCTCCCAGGAAAATAAAGACCCGTGTGTATTTACACATAGTTGTCAATGTGTAAGTTTGATCTAATATTTGAGACCTGCTGACTTACACAAAATTTATTTCCTTTCTTTTTGTTTTTTCCAAGTCTTAGTGCAAGCAGTAGGATAGGTCATCTTCTGCCTGAAGAACAAGTTTACCTTAATCAGCAAAGTGGAACTATCCGCTTGGACTGTTTTACGCACTGCCTTATTGTCAAGTGTACAGCAGACATTTTGGTAAGCACTCTTAGCCATGTTTTACACAGATTTTCTGAATAATGTGATATTATAGTGTATCTCAGGTGACATGCTTGGAGACTAATTTGAGAATAACTTGGAGTTAGTTGTGTTTTTGTGAATTTACACTGTTATGACTGTGTGGTGGGTTGACCCTGGCTGGGTGGCAGGTGCCCACCAAAGCTGCTCTATCACTCCACTCCCCAGCTGGGCGGGGAAGAGAAAGTATAATGAGAAGCTTGTGGATCAAGATAAGGACAGGGAGAGATCATTCAGCAATTGCCATCACAGGCAAAACAGACTCAACTTGGGAGAATTAGTTTAATTAATTACCAGTCAAGTCAGAGTAGGGTAACGAGAAATAAAACCAAATCTTAAAATACTTCTCCCCCACCCCTCCCTTCTTCCTGGGCTCAACTTCACTCCCTGTTTGTCTCCCTCCTCCCCACCAGTGGCACAGAGGGACGGGGAATGGGGCATGTCGTCTCTGCTGCTCCTTCCTCCTCAGGGGGAGGACTCCTCACACTCTGCCCCTGCTCCAGCATGGGGTCCCTCCCACGGGAGACAGTCCTCCACGGACTTCTCCAGTGTGAGTTCTTCCCACAGACTGCAGTCCTTCATGAACTGCTCCAGCCTGGGTCCCTTCCACGGGGTGCCATCCTTCAGGAACAGACTGCTCCAGCGTGGGTCGCCCACGGGGCCACAGGTCCTGCCAGGAGCTTGCTCCAGTGTGGGCTGCCCATGGGGTCACAGCCTCCTTTGGACATCCCCCTGCTCTGGTGTGGGGTCCTCCCCGGGCTGCAGGTGGAGATCTGCTCCAGCGTGGAGCTCCATGGGCTGCAGGGAGCAGCCTGCTCCACCATGGTCGTCAC